ATGTGAAACAATCTTATTGGTAGTCAAGTATTGTAGATTTTTACTTAAAAAGTAACTTTTAACCTTACCATTGTTTAAAACTTTTATCTATATAATTTATTATTTTAATTTATTGAATTTGTATTAAAAACAACATGTATGTAAATGATAAATCTTTTTAAAATCGTTGGAAAAACAAATTTAAGTAAATGTTATATTATATAAATGTGAATTATTTTGTAAATATGTGTCACATGATATAAGCCAACTCAATGGCTTAGTATTGATTGTATTATTTTATTGTACAGATTACAATCAATATGTGACATAATAATAAAATAGAATTTATTTATATTTATAGTAAAACAAACTGCATTAGGCCTACTAACTGCTGATCATTCCAAAAAGTCATCCTGTCAATCAGAAGGTCATCTTGATTAATTTCCAACATTGACACAAACTAATCATCAATCAATCAGATAAATATTTTGAAAGGTCAAATTATCATAGAGCAGTCCCTTCTTCTTTAGGATATATATAGATCTTCAAGATATTTAACTTATAACTTCATAACAATAATTTCAAACTGTTTGTGTGGGGATTGTTAATAAAAAAATATATGAGAAAAATGCAAATCAAAACATTGAATCGGATATTCATGTACACAACAATCATGTATACATGATCAAGACAATAAGTGAATAAACTTATTTTTAAACAGTTACAAACTGTAGTTTGCAAATATTCCATTTGTATCCTTCTTTTGCAGTGGATATTTGCTAAAATGTTTGATTTGATAATTTTTTCTACAGATTGCAAAGCTGCTTCAAGTGGTTGTATCGTCAATGATTGCAAATTCTTATGCTTGCAAGTTCGTGACATTTGGGGATTTTCACTTTACTTGTGACGTCATGCATAATTAAGTCAGTGTTTTCCCTAGCCAGTCAAGCATTGCGGTACCGCTACGCATAAATTTCGACCGCCATGCTTTCATCATTGCCGCAATGCATCCCGCTATGTGTGAAAATTATAACTGTGTAAAATATTTATTATCGATATTTTGAAAGTGAAGTAACAAGCGACAACACTCCACAGGTGTTTTAAACTTTCCGACTAATAATTGAATGCATCACGTCGCGCGTGCCGGGATTTTACAACCTTCTTGATTAGACGGTTATACATCGAGACTTGATTTACATAATAGAAGTTACCAGTCAGCTGATAAATAAATAGTCAGATTTATCTCCAATGCATATCTTTCTGTGCTAAATAAAAAGTTTAACCTTTTCCTGTCAGTCAGGGGTACTACTTATACAAGTAATCTTTATTTACTTGAAGAAGTAAATAAAATAAACTTATATAAGTTAATTATAATGTTTGAATAATCTCCCCTTAATTTTCTAAAAAATTTACTCGTATAAGTAAATTTATTTTACAATCCCACAAAAATTCTCAAGTTTTGAGATGTAAAAACATGCCTTTAACAATTTTTCTCAGGTTAGCTCATAATTTTTTATTAGAGTTCAATGTTTCATCTCATTAATTCAACAAAGAAACTGATTGGCAAAGATCTTAAGTATTTGCGCAAGGCCTTCAAAAATTGCCCCTTGGGGGCTTGTAAATGAGCAGTGTTCTGAAGATAACAGACAAATGAGATTTTCATTGTCCATGAAATTACACTTAAATGATTAGTAAAGACATCTGCAAAGGACAGACAATCAAAAATTCTATTAGAGCAAAGAAGTCCTAAGAATTCAAGAAAAGAAGATAGGATGACTTTTTTACTTGTATAAGTAAAAAAATCTGAATGTCTAAGGGACATAACTAAGCCCAATTTTTTTTTACCTATACAAGTAAATAAAATACACTTGTATAAGTATCCTACAAATTTACTTATATAAGTATATTAATATTTACTTCTTCAAGTAAATAAAAATTACTTGTACAAGTAGTACCCCTGACTGCCTGTATAAATTTCACCTTAAAAACGGCCGGGTGTTTGACATCGTTATTTTACTGTGATCTTTAAAAAGTAGAAATTTAAAATTTGGTATAGTCTCTGGTATTATAAAATAAAACTAAAATAATTTCACCGAGAATGGACAAAACATTTTTTTTAATAAAGTTTCGCAGTTACTTCATCAGCTATATTTACATCGATGAATTATTTTTTGATTGGTCACAACAATCAGTTATTTTTAGATTAGTCACGGTTGATTGATTTTATCAAAGAATACACATCACCGCCACCGGGCCGAGAAAAAGACGTGTCTTATGAAATATTTAAAAGATTTGATAGAAAAACTTTCAAATATACGTAGTTATTTACGGAAATATTGTTTTTAATAAACTTGTGTTGTTCTATTTTTATTTCAATGGGTCACAATCTTCACGTGTAGCGGATTCATTTGCCAAGTGGGGCTAAATTTCTTTCACTTCGGCAAGATAGGATTTTTACAATTGTGAAGCGTTATAAATAAATCGGACAGGGATTTATTTAAAAAAAAAAATAGTTAATTGTCATGAAATAAAATGTCAGCTTAGCTTCCAAACAGGTAATTGCCAAATATGTCATCCGTGTGTCCGTATGTCAGGTATTCTTCATTGACGACTTCTGTAATTAACGCAAATACACTTTTTTTTTATTGTTTCCTGTAAAATCTCTGTGAAGCAATGATGACATTCAAAGTTTTATTTAACAACTTGCTGTTGATTCTGAAACCATTCTATCAGCAAAATTCGAAGAACAATCATCAGTTTAACAACCATGTCCAAGCAACCATCAAAGAAACGTCGCCTTACTGGCCCAACTTTTTTGACAAGTTGGTTAGAGAATTCTACTCCTTCATCAAATTGTAGTCAGACAGATTAAAATCACCTTTGAGAAACAGACTATGCCAAAAAGTGCTCAATTGCTTAATGCATATATCAATTGAAGGACCAAAGGAAGAAGCTTTTGATTTTGAAAAATATGTGGTGACCTTTGAAAAGTTGAAACAGAGGAAGATATCAACAAAATAATGTGTATATGACATTAATTTGTAAATAACTATTGCAGATTGGATTATTGTTATTATTGTTTATATGGTCTTTCATTAATTACTCTCATCTGTGATAAATACTTTAAAATTCCATGACTTATATGAATTGCTGTACCTATAATAAAACAATTAGATTGGTATATGGCTTTAAACTTATAAATTATGTGATGTAACTAATTCTTAAAAAAAGCGTCATGCGCCGCGTTGCAAATTCACCATGGAACCACCATGCATGAAAAATTTTCTAGGGAAGACACTGTAAGTATTTATCATCTGCAATGTGCAACTTCAAAAAAATTTATCCTGATATTTTTTATTGCATTTTCACTAATATCGGCATGGAAAAGAGAACTTGTGTATGTTCTTGCATATTATTTGATTAAACATCTGTTTCCGCTTTTACTGTTTTAATCCTCTACTAGAATTTTGTTGAATTTTTTGGGAAATCCCTCCAGCATTGTTATTGACATCTCAACAATGAGTGATCATCTATTTTAAGGTCTGTCATGTCTGTGGCACTCTTTTCCATCATAGGGCCAAGAATATTATTTTTTATAAGTTTATAAGAGAGCGGATTTTTTAAGATCAGAAAATGGCTCGATAAATTTTAATACAACAAAACCTGCCAAATATTCATTATTGGGTCGTAAATAGTAAATTAATCCTATGCCATTGATTGCAGTTTGAATGAAATAAAAGAAGAATGTGTCCGGGGACACAAATGCCACCACTCAAGCTTGCTTTTCAAACAAAAATGGGACAGACGGAAAGATGGATGGTCAACATGGTCACAGGTAACACTTAATGCCCCCTTCACCTTGCGGCAAAGACATAAACATACTGTGATGCATTAATGACATTTTCAGCATTGTTATGGTTATTTTAAACATGTTGAAAGGTTTTACTTCTTAACTTTTAATTGAACATTGTAAGTCACATGTCAAATTTAGAATAATTGTTGCAGGGTGAACAAAAAAGGCTAGGAAGTCCCATTTTCTTCTTTTTTTTTGCGTTATTTATTTTTTGTTTGATCTCAAATTTATTCTGTAATGTTTAAATAAATAATACAATAGGCCTGACCTTTATATTGTTGCACATGTACAAAAACCACCGTCCAAGACAAAGGTCACAAACTTACAAGCATGTCTACTTATTTTATGGAATCAGGTCACAATTCAAAACGTAGACAGACTGACCATCTTTCTAAAGCTATTCATCAATTAAGTATATCAGACTGTTTACAAATAAGCAATGAATATTTACATTCACAGTGAATAATAGTTGCTCCAAGGTTGTAATTTTTTCTATCGGTTCGACTTCGAGTTAGGGTAACACACTTTCAATCTTCTAGGATACATAGTGTTTCGGTCCACGAAAAAAAATCATTTTGGAGGGGTGGTAATTCTTTTGAGTTTTCCTGACTGCATTTAGTGGTTTTAAGGGATAAACATAGCAGAAAATAAAAAAATGGCTACAGGCAAATAATCCCAAAAGGGATGAATCAGGTAGCACTTGTCTAATAATTTACATCATCCTGGTTTTATAAGGGTGTTTGGTTCAATAAGTACAGCACCATAATTTCATTAAGAGCCACTTGAGTCAAAACTGATATCACTGACAAGCGAATTCAGGATCACACCATCGTTTGTGGTGTACCCCTGACAAAATCATATTTATCAGGATTAACATTCTGAGCTGCCTTGTTATGTCGCGAATTTATGCTGTTAAATGAGATATGATAATGCTTTAAATGAATTTCATAAATGTGACAAGAGTAGCTGTGCAACTATGAACTAATTCTGAAAATCTGTTTACATTTTTTAGCTACTTTTCGACCTGAAAGATGACAGCAGAAAACAAAAACAGGTCACTGGCACACCCAGGTTTGATAATAAATTTTGAGCCGTTAAGAGAATTGGCATGATTTTTCACGTGGTCATTCGAACAAAGAATTCTTTTCTGACATTTTAACATGCTCACCAGTTGCATTCAAACTTCATGATTGGAAAAATGTAAATATTTACGATACAGCATCATCAATCCGGGAAGTCAAGAAAATGGCGATAAAATCTCGTTAATTATCATGCATTCTCATTATCCACGAGACTTGACATTTATTTTATTGAAGTATACATAAAGAAAATATTCCTTTTATTCAATTTATTATTAAAAATAACCAAAACTTGAACAAAACCAGAAAATCGATGAAAAAAGCAAATTTTATCAGGTACTTGGTTTCATTTACTGCAGAAGACTTTTTCTTCGATAGTGTTGTTTACGCATTTCGTTTCCGGTTAGTGCTTTTTCAAACGTTTTCATCCAGCCCTACCTGTTTTATGACAATTATTGAAAATGCCCTAAAATGTTGGCACTTCAACAATACAGCAGTGACGAAGACAATTCAGACCATGAAAACAAAGATCATTTAGAGGATCTCACAGCCCATCTCAGACCAATAAATCAGAAAAATGCAATTTCTTCAACGATTCAGTTGAAAGCAGCACCAGATATTTTTACAAAAGTATGACAACCATCTTGGCATGATATTTCACCAAGATAAGACAAATCCCTACCTCCAAATATGTATCATCTTTCTTCCTTTTATGTTTTAAAGGAGACAGGTGGTAGACCTTGTGCTACATGTACTTGTAGTTGTACGTGCTAGTGTAGTCCAAATAATTATGACGTCTTGCAAGGCTATTTTAATTTTTCTGTGACGCCTTCCTACACCGTCATAACTCTGAAGCCATTTTTTATGTCTGGACTTTGAGAGAGAATTAAAATAAAAAATCAAACTCTGTAAAATAAGTTGGACCTGAATTTTCGGATAATACAAATCGAACTTACCAGAAATTCGGGTCCATCAAATTTTACGGAGTTTGATATTTTATACTCTTTGGAAGTGACGAATTTTTTAAATTCTGGGAAACCATTTTGAAAATAAAGACTTTTAAAGTAAATATTTGCTCACCTCAAATGGCAGTGAATGGTATTGTATTTTATTTTATCATTTCTTTTGGATATTTCTGGAAATATTTTGCATCAATAAGCACAAAAAAAGGTAAGACTTAGTAACTATGTAAAAATTTCTAGCCAGCAATGAAGATTTCATGCCAAAATTGGGTCTCAAAGTTTCCCCCCAAAATTCTCTCTCAAAGTCCAGACGTAAAAAATGGCTTCAGCGTTATGACGTCGTAGGAAGAAGTCACAGAAAAAAAATTAAAATAGCCTTGCAAGACGTCGTAATTATTTGGACTAGTGCTAGTGCTGTGTACCAAATCCGTTCAGTTTACCCAAAATCATGTTTGTTCCCATTCACATTTGCCCCCTGTCACTTTCGTACCCCACATGTTTGCACCTTTGGTCTGTTCTCACTCTACACATTTGCATCCTTTGTAAAGGTTATGTTTTAAAATATTTTGTAATACTGCTTTAAGCATGTTAAGTAGTCATGGTAGTGTATTGGTATAAAATAAAGATAATAAGTTTTGTTTGTGTAATAATAAAGTGACATTCTAAAATGTATTAAAACAGGTTTTTGTTTTTGTAAATTATTTTGATGAAATGAATAATGAAAATTTTCATTTTTCTCTAAGACTTGTAAAAGAAAGGCGGAAGATACCAAAAGGCTATCAAATTAGTCACAAGGACATTGATGTGACAACAACGAATAAAACAAAAAACAGACTGAGCAAAGCACACGTTTATTAGGTGCATTAATGGTCAGTCAAGTCAGTCTGGGTGGGGTTTTCCTAAAACAGTATAGTCATGATAGTGGACCTATACTACACATGCTACAGAAAATGGGCCCAAAAAGTAAAGAATAGAGAAAAATAGGCAAAAAAAATAAATGTGTACAGAATAATGGCGTGCTAAAATATATAGAATAGAGAAAAAATTCCCTTATTAAATATCTTGATCACATTTACACAATTCTGCAGTTTGAGGATAATATAAAAAAATATCAATAATTGAGTATAATTTTAATAAGATTTTTTTGTCAGTTATAGAATTAAGGTAATTGAAAGCTGCACTGCTATGTCTTTACATGGAAGTTGTCAGCCTTCTTCAAACTGGTTAAAATTTCTATAACTCCCGAACTTTCAGTCAGTTGAGTTAATTATGGTAACTGGTTAGGGAGCTACCATTTGATTTGGGGGGGGGGGGGGGGGGGGGGCTGGGCTAGGATGAAATTTGAAAAAAAGGCAGGATGAGCAACTTGGCAAAAAAAAAGGCAGGATGACAATTTATGTAAAAAAAAGTCAGGATAAAGTAATAAAAAAATAGGGCAGGACTGAATAGAGTGAAAAATAAAAAGGCAGGACAGAGATTACAACTAAAAAAAAAGCAGGACCAAATTTTTCATCCTGGCCCCCCATAAAAATCAAATGGTAGCTCCCTTAGAAGAAAAGATCAAGAGAACATGCACACTTCTTAACCCCCGATTTGTTTGGCTTGGTTCTTACATCTAGTGTACCAGAGTTACCTTTGGCTGTGGATATGTAAATCTTGAAAGCAAATGATTATTGCTGCTTAAAAGTTGCTAGATTTACATGTATGCCTGTAGCCTGATGTCTGAGGGTAATACTGAATATACTTGAAAGCCATTCCAGCTTGTAAGTAAATAACATGGTTTGTATTTTTGTTGGAATTGTGTTGCTCAATTTTCAGTTTTCCGTGTCATATGAGTTTTACAGTCGCTATTGTATCTTGGATTAGAAAAGGGCATGTTAAAAAGGGCACTAAGCACATGAAATCTATGTAAAGGGACTTCTACAAATGTATGTCATTTGCTCTATGGTGGAAAGTTGTCTCATTTAGTCATTGGCAATCATACCACATCTTCTGATTTTTATAAAGGGACACCTTGTGTTATATTTGTAAGTAAATTGAATTATTGTGTTTGGTTGTGAAATCTGTTCTTTCCATATATGTTATAAAGGGTTTAGTGATGTGCATGCATCAAGTTAGTTGTTGTAAACATTTTAATATTGTGATAGTTTTCTACATCTCTAATCTGACAGTCAGGGGACTTATTGAAATAAGCATGATAAGTGATTTTTAAATCACTTATTTAGTAGCAAATTCAAAGTTTTGTCACAAATTGTGATTTTGTAATTTTACCAAAATTTTAAACACATTGGTTTAGATAATATCTTTTCATTAGTAAAATTGAAAAAAATGAACCTTTTGCTTCTTTTAACATGTTTAAGTAGCAAGGTTTATGCCTTTGATGCAATCATTTAGCTGTAAATTCTATTTTAGTTGAAAAAATGCTATACTAAAGGCTTTACATAATGAACTGATACTTTCTTAACAGATTTTTCCCAGCAGTGGGAGTATTTTTCCTGTAAAATTCAAGTATTCATCTTACAGATTATGTAATAAAATTCTACTGTTCGCGATGAAAATTTCACTGTTTGGGGGTGTTGAAATTAGTGGGGGTTATTAAAATAATGATACTTAAAGAAGTGATTTTTTGGAAGGAAATTGAGGTATGATACTTAAACAAGTGATTTTTATACGACCGCAAACAAATTTTGCAGTCGTATATTGGTATGACGTTGGCGTCGTCGGCGTCCGAAGACACATTGGTTTTGGCACTCTAACTTTAGTTTAAGTGAATGGATCTCTATGAAATTTTACCATAAGGTTCAATACCACAAAAGGAAGGTTGGGATTGATTTTGGGGGTTATGGTACCAACAGTTAGTGTATGGATCTTTCTGAAATTGTACTACAAGGTTCCATATCACAAAGGGAAAGCTGGAATTGAGTTTGGGGGTAATTGCCCTAAACGTTTAGGAATATTGGGCCGAAAAGGGGCCTAAAACAAGCATTTTTCTAGAATCCAGACAATAACTTGTGTTCATGTGTATGGATTTCTCTGAAATTGTACTGCAAGGTACCATACCACAAAGGGAAGGCTGGGATTGAGTTTGGGGTGATGAATCATAAGGGGGCTTCAAAAAATTTTGGGGAGGGATTTTTTTTTTTTTTTTAATTTTCCATTTTAAATTGGTTATTTCTGATTTATATATAAAAGCACATAATAATGATATGGTTTGAATAGGTAAATTAAAAAAATTTAAGTTCTTAGACCACATTCATTCTGTGTCAGAAACCTATGCTGTGTCAAATATTTAATCACAATCCAAATTCAGTGCTGTATCAAGCTTGAATGTTGTGTCCATACTTGCCCCAACTGTTCAGGGTTCGACCTCTGCGGTCGTATCAAGCTGCGCCCAGCGGAGCATTTTATTATGTCATTATCTCAAATTCAGTACAAGGTCATCACCTGACATGACTGGTCATCCTATAAACACAGATGTTGGTTCTGATAATTTTAACAACATAATTAGTCCCTGGATCTTTAGTATTGTATATTTAAAGCTACAATAAAATTAAATCACTTAAGTCTAGTGATTATTTGTACTACTTAAATAGGTGATTATTAAAGAAAGACAACTCTTACTTCCAACATTTGTGGACATAATGTTACTTGAATCAGTGATTTAGAAAATCACTCATTTAAGTAAGTCCCCTGACTGCTAATGGTTGTACACTTACTTGAAATTCTCTAGACCTTGGGAAAATATTATTTTATATTTAAATAAAATATAGCAGTGAATAGAAAATGAAAGGATATGGAGTAAATGTACATGGGACAAAATCACACACAATACATAGAAAACATAGAAAATTATCAATGAACAGGGCTTTTATTCCTGTTCTTCATCTTGACAGTTGATGTAGGGTCTTCATCTATCTTAGCTCCGACTTAAATTAAAATACTAATCCTTCCATAAGTAAAAAAAGGACCTGTACTAATTCAAGAAGTATGGGTACAGATAAAGTAATAAACTTTTTCAGAATCAAAATTATTCAAATATTTTTATGCCCCCGCCTTATGCAACAGGAGCATTAAGTGTTACCCTTGACAGGCCATCCATCCCATTTTCGTTTCCTCACTCTATCTTAGGTTGAATTTGGGCAGTGAGTCACTTACCGTTGTAGAGTTATGCCACTTTATAACTTGGAAAATTGCAAATTTTGTTTGTTTCCGAAACTCTAACTTTAGTTTGCTTCATCCAAATTTTATGAAACTCATACACAATGCTAAAAACGACAACACACAGAAAGAGTTGATGCAGTATGTCATTTACTGTTTGCAAAGCTTAAGCAAGGGCATTCATGTCTTCTGACATGTCTGACACATTCTTTTTTTATTTTTCTATCTCGTTATATAATAAGAAATTTTTCCATTGAAGCAAAAAATTTGATAGGTCAAAAATACAGATAGCAATTATCTCAAGACTTAACAATGATAATTTTACAGTCATCAATTTCGATATGACTATGCCAATATATTTGTTTCTAGCTCAAACAAGTCTTTCAAAAGTCAGTAGATATTGAAATAATATAAACGATTTCTAACAGCTTAGATATAATTGCCAAACTTTTTATACGACCGCAAAAATTGAAAATTTTTTGGTCGTATATTGGTATGACGTTGGCGTCG